GAAGAGGGCGCCACCGAATTTTGAGGACACTTTTTTAATTGGCTCAAAGAGAGAAGTGGCCCCTCTTGTTATGTAGACTCTTTGATACAATGTAGTCTCTTTGGTAATATATAGCTCCGATATACAACATTTAAAACGACGTATAAGCTTATTTCTATTTAACCGTCATTGTACTACTGATGTGGATATTTTAAAAAAAATTCTCATCCAAATTAAAAATTTCTTATCACAATTATGGGATATATATATGAGGTAGGCAATTTTGGCCCCCGGAGCACCTGAGTTGGGCGGAAGTCGTTAACGTATCATGGCCTGAAGCTGTAGTACAATTTCGCCTTCATAGTACCTTCGAGGACATACTTTTGTGTTGTCTCATTATGATTATTTTGACTACAAACACTCTACAGACATACTTAAAATGAAGAAAGCAGAGTTTGAAAACAGTTTTGTTTTAATTAAACAATGCACATATTGACCAACAGGGGAAACAATTCTTATGCAACAGGTAAATAAATAATATGGAATCTGTCATTGTGTGAAACAAAAAACAGCGTGTTCATTTGTAAACATTGCCAAGTGTAATGTCCACTGGAGAATAATATGATGAAAGGTCTTTCCTGTTTGAGAGAGCTTCAAAGGAAAAATGAATAATTTTTCAAATTGAAGGCTTAAAGTATGTATCATATTTCGTGAATAAAATGAAGCAACTTCAGCTCAAAGCTTCATATGTTAAAGAAACTAAGGCAGTAAAAAAAACATCTTGTTTGCGGGTTTCATTTTACTTTCCGCACTCAGACTTTGTTTGTTTATTGGGTAAGCTGTCAAAGAAATGGTGGACAGTTTCAGGCTTGACGGATTTCATAGTTTGTAAATCCCCAAACGTTCCTTTTGTGATGGCCAGTCTCTCTATCAAAAGTGGAATCCAACACTTCCTGTCTGCAGTTAGTGTGGTTGGTAGTTCATGCCAGCCGTCCATACAATCCGATTTGTAAAAGACCTGTGGTGCTCCAACATCATCCAATTCATATCTGTAAGCACAAACATCCTGTTTAGAGGTAAGGTCATCATTCAAGCAATCATCAAAAGTCTGGAAGGCAAGCAACATCTCACTGCGCACCAAGATTCGACTCTTTAACTACAACGTCAAGTCTGTGCTCCTCTACCGCCGCGAAACCTGGAAGACAACAAAGACGGTGCTGAATTAAGTCCAGACTTTCATCAACAGATGTATGAGGAGTATCCTAAGAATTAAGTGGCAGGATAGAATCAGAAATGAAGAGCTGTGGGAAAGGACAGGACAAAAGGATATAGAAGTAGAAATAGGACTAAGAAAGTGGTGATGGATTCAGAAAGCCCAGCGGAAACATCACAAGACAGTCGCTGCAGTGGAACCCAAAAGGAGCACGAGGCAGGGGTAGGCCACGGGAAACATGGA